GTGTGCCTTGAGAGAGGTATCCATAGATCTCTTAATATTGCTCTCAAAGTGCACCAGATTGATGCTTTTAACTTCAATATTTAAAACAAAACCTTCCCGGGGGAGTATGCCCCCAGACCCCCCTTTGTTAGGTCCACTCCCCACTTATAAAAATAGCGCCGCCACTGAGCCTGCAACCCCGTTTTGAAGAAATGTGTAGTGCCAAACAGGCTGCAGCACTAATGCTGCGATAAGACACACGTTTTTGCCAAATATCAGTATTTTCTTTCTTTTCATTTTTTTGCAGAGATTGCAAAGTGGCAAAGTATTATAACGTATTGTTCTAGCAAAGGGATTGCACAATTGTGTTATGTTTTGTTTTTTGACCACACAGACTTATGGAGCATTGTTTTATTATCACTGTTCTAGCAACGGAATGCTCACGTTCATATTGATGTATTTTAATAAATGTTGACTTGGCCCATTACGTGACTTTTTAAAAAAAGTTTGAGAACCACTGCAGTAGAGGAACAAAATACAAATATGAACCTGAACGTTTGCATAATAGGGCCCCTTTAAATATAATTCTCTTTTCATTAGCATGAGTGCTAAGACAGTGCCTGAACTCTAAGGACTTTCTGCTTTGGTTCATGTTTACTTACCCTGGTACAAGAAGTGCTAAATAAACATTCACAGAGGTACACATAATCCATTATTCATATATTTTTCAATACACGTAAAAAACACTAAAACATATCTATAAACACATGTTTTTGATTTCCATGTATTCAACCAGAGTCATATTACTTCTTAATACTGTGGCAATGAAATACAACTGAAGATGTTTGTGTCAAACATCCATTTACTTGAATGGGGAAATGCTGCCTATTGTTGTACTTTATGTTAAATGTTATACAGTGGAGTGCACCATTTCCTTAATTATAATAATATTTTATCCTTTTTTTTTTTTAAATGTTACCTCTTGCCAATGTTATAGGTGTCCTTGCCTGCAGTGGTTATTTAAATGTATTGTCAGATGCCTGCCAAGCAATTTTCTATGGAGGTCATTTTTATAAATAGCTGCAGCACAAGGGCTGCCTACTATTTCTATTCATAGAATGTTAAAGGGTTTAGATCAGACATATCTTTTGTCTCAGGCATATAATAACAACAACATTTAATTAACTAGTGTTTCTTAACTTAAATTCCTGACAAATGTTTATTTTGTATTGATGTGTTTGGGTCTAAAATGGGGTTTGCGATTTTTAAGTAGCTAATGCCAGAGCTGTTGTGTGATTATATTATTTAACATGCCTCTCAGAAGTGAATGAATACTGTGAATAATAATTATAATATGACTAATTGTGTTGCAGAATAGTTTTTTACTCAACATCCCTTTTATCAGACATCCTTTAAATTGCATCCGTAGACTAATAACTTAGTACTAGATTGGTTGTTTCCTTTAATGTTAATGCTGATGTGCTATAACTGTCCCTTAGAGATTAAATCAATGAATATTTTGATTGTTCATATCAGCGACTGAGAACATATTACACGCATTATTTTATCAATTGGTGTTGATATTTTAAAAGATTCGATCACAATTACACAAAGGTTGCACTTAGGTGGAGATGTATAACATTTGTTGTTGAATAAATTAAATTAAACCAATTGTCTTATCATTTGTTTTTCAGCCACAGCAACACAAAAAAACAGTTATTAACCTTGGTTGAACGTTGAATCTTTTATATTTTGATTTTTTTGTTCTTATGCACACAATTCAATTTGATATATTGTGCACCTCTAACATTTTCTCTTCAGAGGTGCATCCTTGGTGTGTTTATACAGAAATATGACTCATTCTTCCATACAACTCACACTTTAGACGCATCTGCTCTGCATCCACACATCCTTTGAGACAGCCTCCCTGCTGATGTAAGTTTTCCCTGCAGTCTGCGTTTCCACTCTGTTTGATCGCCCCCTGCATGAGACAAACATGATGCTCCAGACACCCATTACTAAAGTTGTTTCTTAATATGGTACAGCCTACTGTATATTCCACTTCTCGATTATGCCAACCGGGCCCCCTCATGTGGAAACATCTGGCACTTATCCTTTGGCAGTTATTCCAACATGCCAGATAACAAGCAGATGTACACTAGAGGCAAAAGGCTTAAAGAGCTTACACCATTTAAGCTATTTTCCTGCTTTTTAATACATAGTTGGCTTTCTACAAAACAACTTATTGAACAGGCTGATAATAAAAACTCCAGTGCACTATCATTTTCTTTTTAACGTCATCTCGGTGTCAGTGGGTGTCTCCTTGTCTTCACCTCCCTGCTCGCACTGCGCATGCGCTCTACATCCTCCTCTCCATCCACACCACACGTCAAAGGGACTTGAAAGCTTGAATAAAGATGCTCAACGTCTCAGGTCGCTGGAGCCTTGTCACCGGGTGAAACTCAGTTATCTGTAGGGACGTGCGCACACACAGAAGCAGCGTAGGTTTTTCTTAAGCTGAAAGTCTCGTGCATCCTGGTTTCGGCGCGAGGACATTCCACCGACCGACATGGAACTGAAGAAATCTATTTCGGACACCGAGCGCGCGCTCAGGAGCTACGGCGCCGTGTCGGAAACGGCATGGACAACAGACAAAGGTGAGCGTCGTGCACAAATAAAATAATATGTTGATGTAGCACCCAGAAGTGAGAAATAGCTGCTCCGTTTTGCAGCATTGTGTTTCACGTTAGCGTTGAAAGGGTTAAGTGACTCAAAAAGGTTTGGGATGTATCGATATCGCCGACTCGGTGCTAGAGGGCCTATTCATTCCCACACATGCATGGTACTGTGTGATCTGTGAATGAATTTGAGGCAAGAAGCACATCACAAATACAGCAAGCCCGGCACATTTTGAAACTTGTGCTTATTTCAGTCATTCTGATGCAGAAACATGAAGGAGATCTGCTTTGAGTTCTGCTCCTCTGCTTTGATCAATAGGATATACTGGATTTCACATTTATAAACATGGGTGTATGGCCAATAAGTTATGAGTTTGAAGAGAGAGTTTTTCTCCTCTTTTAAGTTAGTATTTTCAAATTCAGTTGGGGCAAAAATAAGCATTACTGCATGATAATACCAGTTTCTGTTGGCACAATATAACAGGACCACTGTCCACAGCCTGAATAATGACAATAATACTGACTTAACACCTCAAACACTATGAACCTTTCTCGGTTTATTCACAATTTATCTATTTGTATTTTTCTTATAGGCTACACATCATAGGATAACATTGAGACGTTACAAACAAGCAGACCTTATCATGTATGCATCCTAACAAATATAAGAACATCAATCTCATAAGAGAGTCAAAAAGCCCAAGAAAAACAACAATGACAATACCAACCATTAAAGTACTTTGTAAAATCCAAGTCAAATTAAGTTATATATATATATATATGTTTAACCTTTTTTAGTTTTGGAAATGAATTAGGTGAGAGCCACATCTGAGCCACATCTGAAGTGTTTTCAACCCACTGTCTAAAATGCAAAGATATGAAACTATGAAAAGCAGCAAATCTTCTCTTTTGGAAAGCTAGAATCAGACCATAATGTGTGGCCATAAAGCTCAGCAAACACAGTTCTGAAATAAACACAGCTGTATCAGATCAGACTATTCTCCCCTATTATCGAATCCCAGGTGATGAAGGGGCGCCGCTGAGTGACGCATGTGTTGACAGAAGCAACACAGTGATAGCGTCCGTAAAGACACCTCCTGGATGGTTCCTCTGACGAAGTGACGATTATTCCTCACAGGAGAGCGGGGTGTGAAGAAACTTCTACATTAAGTCAGAGAAGGAGGGGGGGGGGGGAAGCAGTGGATATCTTTAGACATACATCCTGTCATTGCTTCTCTCTCTTTCTGAAATCAAGACAGGTTGATCTCTCTAAAATACTGCCTGTTTTTTTCTCCAAGTGGGGGTGTGGTCGTGCATAAGCAGTGTATACAGTGTGACTGCAGAATGTTTCAGGGACATCTGCATTGGATGTCACACAGACGCTGACGTTTCCCTGCTGTCAAACCCCATGTGGCCACTGCACTGTGCACAATGCAGGCTCTCTAGGCTGTTTCATTCTCATTAAATCCTAATCCTGATGTAAAGTGTTGATCCAGAAACAGGGCTTATTCATTAACAGGAGTCTGATTCACATCTGCGGCCAATGTGCAAAGCAGGGAGTGTTTGTGCAACATGGGACTTGGGATAACATGACACGTCCCTGGTGGAAAAAGCTGCTTTTAATTAGGACGTATCGAAGCTGTGTGTTTCTCGTTATGTCTTTTATGCTGAGTGAGCAGGTCGCTCAGATGAGAGGAAGCTGTTAAGACATTATTGATCTGGCTCTTTGCCACCAGTCCAGACTTAATGCAGCTCGGTCTCATTGATGGAAAGCACGTGGCTGGAGTGTGCAGAGACAAACAAGACACAGAGGGAACAGAAAGAAACACTTCAAACCTCAGCTCCTGCTGTGTTCTGGAGCGTGCTGCTGCATTTCCATGATGTAAAGTTTGTTTTTTAGCCTTTTCTCAGCAGACACTTTGGGTGATGATTCAACTTCAGCGAGGCACAAACAAACCAGAGCCCCCCTGTGCAGACTTCTGTCTGCGGCGGTGAGTCAGCTCTGTCCTCAGAGAGCATCCATGAAAAGCCCCACAGACGCAGACTACAGCTACTGTCGCTGCAAGATCACAAGCTGCTCCCCTCCTCTAATGTCACAGTGTGGATACATGTCATGCATCACATTTAAAAGCTTGGACTCTTGGATATTGTAATGGCCAACATTTAGTAGATTAAACAAGAATATAATCAATCAGTAAGGAAAGTAATTGCTACCTGCAGCCCTAATGTTTTTCAGGACCCTGACTGCAGGTATCACTTCCAGTCTCACTTGAATGCATTCATATGAAATGTTCATTTTCTTCACAAAAGTGGAAGACAAATGACAACTATGACGGCTGCTATACATGTGTTATACTGAGCTATAGCAGAAATACTTTGTTAAAAGGGGTACTCAAGAAATAAAGTGTTACTTCTCCATAAACGGGGGATTGTAAGAAACAGGAATATAAACTTCTATTATGTTTCACACCCCTGGATCCTTCAATACCCATAATGCAGTCTGGCTTAATTAGACCCTCAATGCCTTGTAGACTACAAGGCAAACTGTGTAACAATGGCAGGGGGTTTCTTTTAATAAAGAGGTTAATATTTGCATATATTCTTAGTTCCAGATCCTAGATACTGTTGATGGTATTTGGTAAGGTTTGTTGGAAGAGCCTGTGCAGTGGTCAGTGCATCGATCAGTGCAATAAGGGTTTGGTCAGTGTTGTCGGTGGCAGGAATGGAGAATGTCAGGTCGATGGTCCATGTCAGGGAGGAGTTAGCCAATCAGTGAGGAGCCACAGCTGGTCATTGATCCATGTTAGTATCATGTTAGTTAGTTTTTCTTTTTTCCCTTCTTTAACAACCACAAGTGCCTTCATTACATGCGTACAGGGATAGTTTGAAATGTATTCTAGTTTGGTTCGGAAGAGGTACTTTTCAGTATGCTCGTACATTTGGAGATCCGGCAGGACTATTGTAGACGAGAGCAGCAGCCAAATATATTTTAGCCACCTAAAACAAATCAATATCAATCAAAGTGTATGCTCTATTTGGATTATTTGACCGCTTTACCTCCCGAATAGACATCCATTTCTTGAACTGAAGCTGTTATATCCATCTTCCCAAAGCCACCAGACTCCATTGACACAATCAGTTATTCGATGTTGTTGGTCTACTGCTGCACCACAACACCAAAGTCACACAATTATACAAACTAACTAACCTATAAAGGCAGCGGTAAACCAAAAAAGTACAGTATTGCTCAATGCAGTCAAGAAGAGACAGATAAGTCTGATTTACATCTTGTTTGATACTTTCCTTTTATGTCACACACAAATTTTCTCCTCATCAGTGATTGCTGCCTTTTTGAATAGAAAACAGTCTTTTGTGCTCGAGGCACTGCAGTGACTAACATGCAAATCACCTCTCTCAATTACACACGCTGCTTTCTCTCTAAATATCATGTTCTTGGCAGATGAGTCACGGGATATGAGGTGAGAAATTAGTCTGCCAAGTAGCTGACACTGCGAGAAAGTTTTCAACGGATTAAAAAAAGTTGAATTTGACAAATAATATCAAAGAAAATAGGAAGATAGGTATGTTATATCTCTCTCTCCTGCCTTTAAGCATCCTTTGTATTCCTCCTTATCATTTCTTTACAAATGTGTACTCATTCCTCCTCATTTTTGTACTAATTAGTTTTTCCTTACCTCCCTCCCCCCCCCAGGTCATTCAGATGTGTCCATGGCGGAGAGCACCATGGCTCCAGAGGAGATCGAGGTGGAGATGGCTCGGATCCAGCGCCTGCGAGAGGTCCTGGTGCGCCGGGAGTCAGAGCTGCGCTTCATGTGAGTTGCTGAACTGTCAATTTCTGCGTGTTTTTCACACCAAACGTGTGACAAAGATAGAATCTATAAGGTGTCATAACAACTCCTCCTCGAGTGGATAATGAGGTTGACATGGCGCACGATTGAAGTCTGCTGTTTAAGAGACGATACAGAGGGAGGCCATTGATTATGCAGAGGACTGGACATGCCAATAGCAGCCGAGTGAGTCACCATGATGAGATCGTTGGCTTCTCATCAGCCTCAAGGATTATGGATCAGTGTTTGGGAATACACTCTGTATTTCTTCCTCTGTATCCGTCACCGTATTTATCATAGTGAAGTGTGTCTGTGCTTTTTGTGAAGCATGGCGAGATAAATATGAGGAATATAGTTGATATGTTGATGAGACTAATATTGAGTGTAATACTGAGCAGTAGAATTTCTAGTTCAGAAAAGGTTTTTTATTCTCCATCTATAACCGAAGCCAACTGAGCAGACAAACAAAATGAATATGCAGAAAATACTGGAAACGTCCTGTCTTCCATTGCTTGTGTGCTGTTGGTTATTTTAAAACAGGCAGCAGGAAATCCCAAATCCATCAAATTCAAAATGAAAAACAATCCCACATCCTAAATTATTCAGTTTACGTCTGTGTAAGACAAGGAATAGCAGCAATTTCTGACATTAAACCATTGAATATTTGTCATCTTTGCTGTAAAATGACTTAATAATAAGTAATTAAAGATTTCTGCGAAGTTTCTCTATTTCATTTTGAAGACTATAGGATCACAATATGTATTGATAGGAGATACAATGTTCCAAACATTCAATTTCAGCGTAGCTTAAGAGCTGTTTCACTGTGCAATTTTGTTACTGAGCTGAACATATTTGTTGTTTTGTAACATATTTAGCAAATGTTGTTATTTTGTGAAGGACAAATGTATGTTTTCCTTTCAAAACCCAATTTAAATGAACACAGAAAATATTGCGTTACAATAAAGAAAGCGGCTCTACTTCTGCCCCTAAAACTGAATTAAGAGAAATAGATGGTAGTTGTTTTGTCATCTTGAAACTGTATCACATGACTCATCGAGCAGGACAGTGGGTCGTTGCACCCTAACAACACGGCGTGATGGTCGAGGTGTCCAACATCAGAGAGCTCTCTCAGTTTTAGAAGCAAATGTACGCCTCCACTCGAAAGGCTTCATTAGGCCGCCACGCTGCTTACTGCTTACCTCTCTGTTGTCAGGCTCAGTGTGACTCAAGTAGTGCACACACACACACACACACACACACACACACACACACACACACACACACACTCTCTCTCATACACACACAGACACACTCACTCCCTCCCTCTCTCTCTCTCTCACCCACACAGACTCACTCACTCACTCACTCACTCACTCACTCACTCACTCNTATAGTTATAAAAATATAAGAGAATACATGAAAAACAGGTATGAAATACTATATGACAGTAAAAAAAGAATAAAGTTTAAAAGGGGAGTGATTTGTAAAATTTTTACAAATCACTCCCCTTTTAAACTTTATTCTTTTTTTACTGTCATATAGTATTTCATACCTGTTTTTCATGTATTCTCTTATATTTTTATAACTATAATGATCGTATAAACGTGTGCCTCGGAAATAATTGTTTACATTAATCGTCGTGACCAAAACGTTTGAGACCCACTGAGATAACTTAGACTAAAGTTAACTATCTAAACACTCAGAGAGTCCTTTAGCTCAGAGTCTCTCAGTCTGACAGGAGAGGAGTCTCCTTCACCTTGTTGTAGAAACAGCTCCTTATATCCGTTAGCGTAGCTCGCTAGCACCAAAAGATAACAACAACGATCTCCAGTACCGGTGCGCTCTCTCTCTGTCTCTCTTTCTCGCGCACGCACACAAAATGGCTCGTTCCACACACACACAGAGCCAAGCTTGAATGAAACACAGAGACCCAGACGTACTTGTACTCTACTGTATCATATTATTTTCAAATCAATAATTTTTCAAATTATGATTTAAAAAAAACAAAACATTTTTTCTCCTGGTCTCTTGTTATGCCTCTGCACTTGAGAAACACTGCTCTACTGTGATTCTTTTCTATGCTTTAATGATCAGAAAGGTCTTTTTTTCTCGTACTGCCTGTGCTGCAGCACCTCTTTTCACTCTCCGTCTGAAACCAGAGCCCAGTCTGCTCTGATTGGTTGGCTGGCCGGCTCTGTTGTGATTGGTGAATCGCTTAAAGATGTCCCGCCCCTTAGCCTATCACGTACAATGTGTGCGAGTGGTAGCCAATAGAAGCGCGAGTGACATACTGATGTCAATATGTTATGGAAGTAAGCAAAGGGCTACAATCAAGGCGTTTCCGGGGGGTGGGGGGAGGGGGATTTTAGCCATTCAAGACCATTAACATGCACAAATACCTAGAACACACTACAAGAAAGGGATAACCCCTTAAAAGCACAATAGGGCCCTTTTAAAGAATTGTCTAGAAATGTGGCCAATGTTATGAAGTAAGAAGTCTAAGCTAATATATTAGCTGCCTCTCCGCACTGTGGCAAAAATTCTTCCCCACTTTCATTCCAGTTTTGAGACAAAAGCAGAGGAATGTAGATCATCAACCTGCCACATTCCCATCATTATCAAAGCTTTTCCTCAGACATAGAAGTCATCAAGAATCATTTTCATATGGTCCAATTAAATAAGGGAACTCTCCTGTTTGAAATGAGAGAACACACACGGTTGCATTTATAAAAACAAACCAGACGACAAGTATAGCACATTGATGGAAAACTAGGACTGATTGACATGTTTCCAGTGAGGTGATGTGCATATTTAAAAATATACACATTCAACTTGCTGGACGCTCTTTCGCAAAGCACCTTAGAGAGTAATGAGGATACACATTTTAGTTCAACCTCAGAGAGACTTTGAACTCAAACCCTGGCAGTGAAAGTGCAACATGGACCACAGACAGGACCACCTTTTTGTTTTGTCCCTTCCATTACAGACACTGATCCAACATACTTCAGTTCTGAGTAGGTTTGGATGCTACTGGTCCCTCTTTGGAAGCATCTTTCTGGTCCTCGCAGTCTACTTTCTCCGTTGTGGATTCTCCTTCCTCTTCTTTAGGAGGGAACATCCAAGTCAGAGCAGCAGCAGCCGTGCCGTCGCCGCTCTGACGCGAGAAGCAGAGGAAGGTGGCCCAGACGAAGCCGCAGCAGCCGGTGAAGGTGGTCCGCAAGTACAGAGGCACGAAGGTAAAGTTCAGAAACTAAGGGAGAAACATGATGGTTAAAATATATTTATATCATTGTGCTGGTATATCACAAATCAATAAATCATCCAGATTATAATTGAGATGTAGTAAATAGAACTTTCTTGCGCAATTATTGTTTGAGATGACATACAGAAACTCTACTCTCTAATTCGAACTACATCAGTTTGTTTGAATTTACACATTTTTATGTCATTATGATATTTTGAAAAGGTGTTACAATTATATGGGTTAGTGTTTCAAAATTAGTAAAATAAGGGGAAAAAAATTGTTAGAAATAGCATTCTAAATGAATAAGGTAATTCAAGTTTTAATAGTGAAGAAAATCTAAACTCAAAGGTCTACTTACAAAGTTATACTCAGGAGGAGGAAGTGATTGAAAGCTAAGAATCATTAGCAAGTGGACCTTTGATCTTGGGTTTTCTTCACAAGATATTATCTAGAATATGTAAGGGAGTTGTTAATATTTACCTGCATAAATGGCCAGAACATTAGCCCCGTCTGAAAAGAGACAAACAGAGAGCGACACCTGTCACAACATGTCACAGTTTGCACTACATTTCAGACCTGAGCGCTCCAAGGTGCTGGGGATCATGTCGTGACAGCCCGCCTCTCACCTTATAGGTATTCAGGAATTTCTCTCTCCAGTCTTCAAAAATGTCATCTTTGCCCTCCAAGAAGCTGACACCTGGGTGAAAAAACAAGACAAATGACAGTTTATTTCTGACTGTCAGCTGGGAACTGGACTTTGAATACACACAGATGTACAGTTTGTCCTATAGGAGTAGGGACAATTATGTCAACAATATGTAATTTAATCTCAAACTGTGTTCATGATATTCTGGTACATATTGCGACAAAAATTAGCAGTAGAAGCATTAGAGATTATGGGATACGTGAAGCAAATTATTATCTTAATGTAGTTTTCTGTTTTTGGTTTGTCAGATTTAGAAGATTTGAGGTACAAAAAGCTTTTTCTTTAGCCAGATCATCAAAAATGATTGTTTCTATTAGTCTGACATTTAGATAAAAACCCACATGAACTACTAACTTCTTCTTATTTTTATTATGTTATAGCAGTAATAAGAATTCTAAAGGGAAGACTCAACAGTTTTGCCTGTTTTAGAAATCAATGACCGTGTTGGAAAACTAATGCTGATGTTGGGACTTTCTTATCCACAAAGTCTTGGCAACAGAACTCACGTCTAAACAATGAACTCTTTATAGGCTACCCAAGGACATTCATCTGTGTATACAATACAGCTACTCTGTTACAGGCTAGGTTGCACTTCTGCACTGTTTATTGCACTTTTTACTTTCATTTTCTAATTTAACTGAGTTTACTAGTTTGTATACATTTTGTAACAAGATTTGACTTGAGGCTCTTGTATTCAGCCCATGTGTAACAAATACCATCTTGAATCCCCTTCTCCCTTTACTCCAGACTAGAACTATCTGCTTGGATCATAATTGCTGACTTTCATGTGACCTCTGATGGCCAAGGTATGTTTCCAGTACAATGAGCTACTGGGCTCGGTTTACAAATGGACAGATACGGGATATGTTTTGAGGTTAACCCGTAACAGCCTGGCCGGGGAGCAGCCGTGGTGCACCGGCTCCCTGACACAAACTGACCCGTGTAGAAGACGCTGACGGCCAGCGGGGCGGCGGTAGTCTGGTCCAGCAGCAGCTTCCTCAGCACCATCCGGATGGAGTTCCCGGGAAACCTTCGCTCCAGGAACCGCATCCAGAAGAAATTCACGTTTCCATGGAAACCAAACGCGACCACGGCGACATTCCGTGTGTGTCGCCAATCCAGTTCCTCCCTGCGCGAGAAGAACCACTGGTGGACAAAGTCCCCTCCCGCGAACAGGCAGCCGTACATTGTCACGTTAGTGACCCACGGAAACCGACGGACATTTCTCAAAAACGCCTGCCGCATTATTTTAAACTAACACAGCAATATTTAATATGGTGTAAGCGAAATGTTAGGTTAGTCTTTGCTAAATGTAACAAATAACACTGGCGGTATCTCTGTCTGAATATCTCCGCGGCATCACTCACACTGTAGTCCCGTCCAGATTTCGGTGGAAAAGGTTCATACGGGTTTGAGACGACAAAATGTATATTTATTGTATTATTCCTGTATTTTCCTGTAATCTCAGTTGGGATACTTGCTCGTCATGCACCATTCGACCCCCAGTACGGGACCTGTCAGTGTGACACCAGCCGGTCGGCTCATTCTGCGTAAAATTACTACGCCCCTTTTTACGTAAAAAATCATGACTACACAGTTGAGGGCGGAGCAAAAGTGAAAGCATTGAGCAGCCATTAGCTCAATCTGAAAGAGAGAATGTTAAAAAAATACTACCACAAGAGTGATAGTTAAACGGGCTATCAATCAATGGAGGTTAGGGGACCTTTAGGAACAGCTTCAGTGAAATAAACCTCCATGAATGGGAGATTTATCTGTACCCTCCCCTACCTATCCACACCTACAGTTGCAGAAAAAGTATGTGAACCCTTTGGAATTACCTGGATTTCTGCATAAATTGGTCATAAAATGGAGGAAGCCACTGCTGTCCAGAAAAAACATTGCTGCACATTTGAAGTTTGCAAAAGAGCACCTGGATGTTCCACAGCACTACTGGCAACATATTCTGTGGACAGATTAAACCAAAGTTGAATTGTTTGGAAGGAACACACAACGCTATGTGGAGAAAAAAAGGCACAGCACACCACCATCAAAACCTCATCCCAACTGTGAAGTATGGTGGAGGGAGCATCATGGTTTGGGGCTGCTTTGCTGCCTCAGGGTCTGGACAGATTGCCATCATCGACGGAAAAATGAATTCTCAAGTTTATCAAGACATTTTGCTGGAGAACTTAAGGCCATCTGTCCACCAATTGAAGCTCAACAAAAGATGGGTGATGCAACAGGACAACGACCCAAAGCACAGAAGTAAATCAACAACAGAATGGCTTCAACAGAAGAAAATACGCCTTCTGGAGTGGCCCAGTCAGAGTCCTGACCTCAACCCAATTGAGATGCTGTGGCATGACCTCAAGAGAGCGATTCACACCAGACATCCCAAGAATATTGCTGAACTGAAACAGTTTTGTAAAGAGGAATGGTCCAAAATTCCTCCTGACCGTTGTGCAGGTCTGATATGCAACTATAGGAAACATTTGGTTGAGGTTATTGCTGCCAAAGGAGGGTCAACCAGTTATTAAATCCAAGGGTTCACATACTTTTTCCACCCTGCACTGTGAATGTTTACATGGTGTGTTCAATAAAAACATAAAAACATATAATTGTTTGTGTGGTTTTAGCTTAAGCAGACTGTGTTTGTCTATTGTTGTGACTTAGATGAAGATCAGAACAAATTTTATGACCAATTTATGCAGAAATCCAGGTAGTTCCAAAGGGTTCACATACTTTTTCTTGCAACTGTATGTGCAACCATACTTCACTACAATAACTTGGGCCAATACTGATATCTATAGATTAAACATTGAGTCATGATATGTTCACAATGGAACCACTTCTGTGATGCAGCTACTTGTTATTGATCGGTTGATTGGCTGATATTGTCCGGTATAATAGCTGGGAATTGAAAGTGATATGGCATATCCATATAATATACCAGCAGCTAATGACAATGTTCTCAAATGGTGGACTTAGTTGTCGAAAAACGCTATTCCTGAATCCAAAATTGTGATATTCTACTCAGAAGAAAATCAATTGTTGACCACTTTAAACTAGATTGGACCGGTTAACATTTATTTAGCAACAGGTACAGTATGTTCACAAGTTGCATGAAGTTGCACTGAATGCTTTAAGCACCTGTCAGCCTTCTGAATAACACAGCTGATGAAAAGGCCTTATACAGTATATGGTGTTGATTTCATTTCAACAAACTCAAAAAACACATCTACTAAAATCATATTCTGTTGCGTTTGACAAGGATCCATATAGCTATACACATTTACACATGCAAGTTTCCTAAAACACACACATTCATGGCAAAGTATACAGCAGTATATGAGGAAATATTATATTTCGTTCCCCCCAGGAAGTTGCGTTTTTAGTGGAAGGCATAGCAATACATATTATCCTCAATGTTTTAGACAAAATGCCAAAAATAAATGTATTCTTAATTTGTGTTGCAGCAAGTTCCCTACTTGTAGTTTTCCTCAAAAAGTAGGTTGGGCTTTTTTAATTTTACATATTTTACATGTTTAGCCCCACTCAATACACAACATGCATGCAGTTGCAAGTCATATGTATGTTTTAGACTGATATTATATCTCTCAGAAATTGATTGGTTTTCAGACTTAACTTTAGTTAAACACACCTGGTGACAGAGTAACTGAAAACATCAACTCAATGACAAAAATATAAAAGGCAATTAAATGAAGTCGGAATTCTGAATGTCAATAAACTGTCAAATGATATCCCCAACATGCAGAGCAGGAAATGAATAGATAAGAGAATGTTTTGGAACAAATGCAGCCATCGTTTTTGGGCTTAAAACCAAATGATAACTATTGTAATCGCTCGCGGTCTCAGACCCTAACTACTGGGCATATGACAGGATTGTTAATTATTTCCTTTCATAATCTAAACAGTCAAGCATAGTGGGGCATTAACTTACTGCAACAGCAGGTGTTACGCAAGTTGCAGACTTTACATCTTAGGAGTGGGAACAAATTAAATGTTACAGGCATGAACAGCTTCACTTGTACTCGTCTGCTCTCTCTACTGGACCAGCCAGATGAGACATACAGCGCGGGGGGGGGGGATACCCCCATGATAAGACACGATGAACAAAAAACAGACAGCAGGTGGATGGGTCATAGTGTATCCATTGAGCTGAGAGGCAAAAAAGGGTTGAATGTTAAGGTCCAGTGGGAGGCAGGCTCTATGACTACACAGCCCTCTCCCAGTCCCCCCTCTCCGACCTGTGGTAGAGCTGCGGCTGCCCCCCGGGGAACAGGTTATCAGAGCTGGGATGTTCTAGGAGGAACTGGATGGTGGTCTTCATGTGCTGGACGAAGTGAGGCGGCTCAGCCAGCGGAGAGGTGGACAGGTACTGGGCAAGAGAGAGATACCAGTCAAAGTTTGTTATGACACTTTCAGGTAAAAGTGGTAAGATGACATTTTAGAAATATTGTGATAAAAAAGGCACATTTTTAGAGAATTTCAAAGATATAAGCACGACATTCAGAAATAAAAAATATTGCAATTTAAATGATTTTAATGATGAATATGTTATAATGACAATAAAACATTTTTTAAATTAAAGTTACAAAGTGTGAGGGGCTTTTTCCCCATTATTGTACCTTTTTAAGTTTGAGAAAAATATTATCACGTTTTTTCTCAGAAATGTACAACTCTGATCTTGGAAATAACATCACCCACCTCCCCTGGATCTGTAATAATGATTATTTCTCTAGAAGAGCCTAATACAATGTCATATAGATTCTTTAAATGAAGCGTGAAACATAGGAAAGTATAACAAAAGATGATGTCGATCCTTTTTATGACTATTTACTTTTAAATGTACTATTTACTATATTTCTTTACCTTCAAAATAGTGTCATCCTCTTGTGACAACCAGAAGCCGATATCCAGATTTGGGGACCAACTGCAAGGGCCAATTTTAACGAGGCCTCGACTCGAGTCATATATGTCTGCCATCTGTAAGAAAAAAAACGCAATTAATAATCTTTGCACTGAGATTGCGTCTACGGCTGCCAATTAGTATCCATTCATCTGCTGTTTATTTCCTGTTGCTGTTTAATATTTTGATATAAGTCAATCCGTGTTTTTAAAACTCCCAGGAGATCTCTTTGAAGTCTTGTTTAGTCGGTCCAAAACCCAAAGACATTCACTTTATTAGGATATAAAACAATGGAAAGCAGAAATTCTCCATATTTGAGATATTAAATACAGAATTGTCGTTTTGCTTAAAAATGATATTTATCAAAAATATCTGCCAATAATTTTTCTGTTCATTGTTGTAACCTTTTATTGTGACCTTTTAGTTATACCTATAAAACATTTACCACATTATTCATTTAAAGAGGAAATCAGTATTTTTTATTTGTTTATCATTAAAAAAAAAAGTGGAATTGTGAGAGCTCAAATTAAATAGTTATTGTGTCTCACAGAGAAAACATCATTAAATATCTGTGGTACCTGTCCCCCAGTGAAGGTCCTTGCTGACCGCAGCTCCTCTGCTGGTCCTTTGTGAGTAAATGACGAAGGAAACACATCCCCTGTAGTAACATTTACACCTGTACAAAAACAGACATAGACACACAATATATTAGAGATTTCAAGCCATTAAAGCACCAATTTCACTAAGTAGCATATTCATCACTCACCTATGCCATATACTACAGGACTATGATTTCCATCAACAACAATGTCATTCATTTCTACAAAAAAATAGATCAGAAGGGTTAGTTGGATGAAGAAGTGGACTTTTTATAAACAGTAGTAAATAAGTAACAAAGTTACCTGTGATGCAGCATGTTTCCAGATGAATTTCCTCTTTCTGTTTCTGGAAAGCTGCTGTAAAAGTTTTTTTTAAAGTTATTATTTGTAAGTGTTACAAAGCTAAAATGCTGCCAGCATTATTAAAATTAGGTAATTTGAAAGACTATACCCAGTATGTTAAGGCTGAGTTTATGGGATGTTTTTGACTCATCGTTAAATCCTCCAGCAAGATGGAGCTCAAGTCTGCATAATGGAAAGTAAAGTAAAAGTATAAAGGAATATAATTAGTACTTTGATTATTGATCTTTATTTGTGTGTTTCGTACCTGCCCTCCTTACTGACGTTACTCAGTGATGTCACAGCTTTCACAATAAGCGGGATTTCAGACCAGGTGCAGGAACCATCGCAGTGGGCAAGACAAACAGCTCCACTTCCTAAGAAAAAAAAAGGATGGCATATATCCTTACTATATATACACATGCAGAATAGGGCCCACAGTGAGAATTCAATGAAAGAAGCGTTACCGGTGTGTCGCAGCACAACAAAATGGCAGGTGGTGGCATCACCAGATCCGATTACTGAAACAGATTCTGTCAAAGGGAAGATAAAAAGCATTTATTATGACCCAATATTTTTTACTTATACTACTATCTGGGTGGGAGAGAAACTCCCTCTGGCCTGGACTTTGGGATTTCAGCCTTTCAAACTATTGACATGCACAAAAACCTATATAACACACTACAGGAAAGGTAAAACCCCCAAAACCATAATAGGGCCTCTTTAAGAGAATGTCCCAAACGTAAGGGCACATATGTCTAGTTCTTCAGATCAATAAGTTTATATATTTCACACATATTTCCCAGTAACATTTCCTGAGCTTAGAAAAGACAAGGTCGGATATTTGGATGGTCTGTACCAATCACCAGGTTTTACTTACTGTCTGCTGGTGTTGTTGCTGCAAACTCTCTTTGTTGGACGTACAAGAGGCACTTAGGGTCGACATATACAAGTGGCTGGGAGCGAAATGTTCTTGCATTTTCCTGTGACGTCACATTAGAGTAAAATATAAATGTATTGCGTTAGCATTAATTTGTGGATTTCCAACATTGAAATCAAAACATAAACAGAAATTGATAATAATTATTCTTCACAGGTCTACATTTTATTAGATGTAAAAACTAAAATCATAATTTGGCAGATAGTTGTATTATCCCTGACTGATTTGCATCTGCCACCATATATAACGCCCCCATGCTGTTATAAATAGTATATAAATACCCATTTGGTGTTATCCAGTCTTTCATAAAGTGCTCACTTACAGAAAAGTAAATATAACTGCTGACAGTTTCTCTACAAGCTAAATGTAGCCACACTTTCTGGAAACAAACCTTTAAATGTGGATGTCTGTCGAACAGCTCCCCTGTCGAGGTAATGCGGTCAAGTGCTCTATTTTGAATTAACAACGGCATTTCCTTAAACGAGGTTCACTATGCAAACTCCAAGTTTTCGTACTATTCTAAAGGCCAGTTACTTCTTATTATTGTATAGCTTAATATTTATATATTTCATATTTTAACAGAATAGTAGTAACTGCTGCAAATCCAGTCCAATCGTGTGAACTTCCTGTAAGGCTTTCTTCTTCGCCAAAAAATGAGGCTTAACACCCAGTTTCTGACACACCGCCACCAACCGTTAGAAAGCACGAACGTGTACATGAGCGCAATTCACCATTACTACTTAGAAAAAATGTGTACGTAGTGTCCGTTAAATTACACACAGCTACGTATAATTACTAGTGGAAGTTGCGTCGCTAAAGAGGGCAGGGAGCGAAGCTGCGAAGCGACTGTTTTATTCTGTGACGCACACAATAATTGTTTACTCCGTATGTAAGCGAAATTATCGTCTTAGAATCTTCTTAGACCGTTTTGCAATTTTAAATTGCACGTATTTAAATTTTTTATCAGGAAATAACCGAAACAAAGCGTCGTCATTCGCTAAAGCTCAGTTTACTTGCACATATTGCCGAAAAGCTACTGTAGTTGACTTTTTCGCCAACATGAGAGGGGGTTCCTCCTACGGAGACAGAGACCATGGACGAGACAGGTAGGTGTAATGAATATTTAAACAACACCCACTTAATTTACACACAATGTCTAAACTCCACTTTAAGAATTACCCAAAATCATGGCTGCTGTATTTTTCGTTAAATGCATCACGAACGCAGTTAAAGCTCAAACAACCACAAGGCCTCTCTGGAGTTTGTAGTTTACTCTGTTAAAATTTCACTTGGTAAAGGTCATTTATCGTCTAAACTGGAGCAGAAACTTGAACTGGTCTCCAAATATAGTGTGTTTTGTACATGAGTGAAGAAAAATAACCAATAAATGTACAGGCGCATTAATCATAGTTCTATCAATTATATGGCTATGTATAATAAAGCACATTTGGACAAAAACTGTATATCATAATTTCAATTCTCACATAAGTAGGTAAAGGCATATGCATGCACTAGGAAAGATAACAAATAGATTTTTTTTAAAGTAGAGAAACAATTTGGTCGTGTACAGACTGGTGGAACTTGAAAAACATTTCACATACAAAACATTTTCATGCGCCCCCTTGTGGAGTTTTTCTTTTAAATGAAGGCAAAGTTATACACATAATTAACAAGATAATATGTTGACATATTACCTCACAACAAAGAAGATACATTACTATACTATATGACATACTATGACAGGTGGAAAGTAATAAAGTCAAACTTCACTAGAGCTACATTTTCCCAATGTCGTGCAGTGTTGTTCTACTTTGTAATAGTCTGTACGATAAGATGGACCTTTATGTATCCCTGTGGGGAAATTCAGTGTCATGACACTGTAGCATTTTCCCCCAAAAGTTATTGTCTTTGCAATGTATTTTTTAAGAGTTAGTCTGGGAATAGGGATTCAGCCTCAAACCTCAAATACAGATAAAACTGTCAATCGTTATTAACATTATGCAAGCAAACCCCATCGCCCTTTATCTCTTGACCGTTATCTTCTCAGGCCACGGTTTGGGGCCATGAGCGGTCGCGGTGGACCTCCACCAATGAAATTTGGAAATCCGGGTGAGCGTCTCCGCAAGAAGAAGTGGAACATGGACGATCTGCCAAAATTTGAGAAAAACTTCTATACTGAACACCCTGAGGTCCAACACCTCAGTCAGGTACATCTTTATATTTGTCTCTGTCCCAGTCCCTCACAAACAATAAGTGAGTGAGTCAATAAACTTTCATGTATATATAGACAACCTTTACACCATGCCAGATGTAAAATGTCCTCTAAATTATAGTTGTTAAATAAACGAGAACCATTTCAGCAGGTTTTCTTAAAGATTTTTACAATTTATACACATGTCCAAATGTATGTTAATTATGTTTTCCCCTCTCTTTATAATATCCAGTTTGAAATGGAAGAGTTTCGCAGGAACAAGGAGATTACCGTCAGAGGCTCTGGATGCCCAAAAGCGATACCCGCTTTTCACCAGGCGCAGTTTCCTCGTCCGTAAACTAAAATATATTACATACATATAATATATAAATACATATTAATGTTATACAAACGAAAATGTCTAATCTCAGGGAAACATGACCTCATAAAATAGATCACTCACTTTAACCAACATCTAAGAGTTTAAATAATAAGCTAATGAACAGTGATAGTAAAGGACAAGTGGTATGTTTAAAAAAGGGATTGTCCTTTGGATGGAAAGACTGAAATGAAGAAACCAAATGAAGTCCATCAGTGTAACGTTGTCCTCCTCTTTCTCTTGGCAGAGTATGTGATGGATGTGCTGATGCAGCAGCACTTCAAAGAGCCCACAGCGATCCAGGCTCAGGGCTTCCCTGTGGCCCTCAGTGGCAGGGACATGGTGGGCATCGCTCAGACTGGCTCCGGAAAGACTCTGGCTGTAAGGCTGCCCGGCATCCTCCTGCATGATGATGACACTCAAATAGAAATTCATTTATATACTTACAAAACTTTTGAATTAAAATGCCTAAACTATTGAAGAAGCACATCAGAAACAGCAGCACAGCGGAATTGGTTTGACCGTTTTGACACAAGAATAGGTATTTATTGGAATTTGTATTCCTTGCAGTATCTTCTTCCTGCTATTGTCCACATCAACCACCAGCCTTACCTGGAGAGAGGAGATGGCCCAATTGTGAGTGCACATTTATTCCATATTCCATATATTGTGTTAGATAATGTTTTGTCTAAATCATACTGTGTGTCGTGCGTACAAAATAAGAAAACCCATCCTCATTCGTCTTCTTCTTCTCTTCACAGTGTCTTGTCCTTGCTCCAACCAGAGAGCTGGCTCAGCAGGTTCAGCAGGTCGCACTTGAATACGGCAAGTCATCCCGTATCAAAAGCACCTGTGTCTATGGTGGAGCACCCAAAGGACCACAGATTCGAGACCTCGAGAGGGGTAGGTTTGGTTGTAGATAATGGCCACATGCAATAAATTATACAAACTCATTTGAAATTCATTAATCTTTTAATAAAAATACATTTTCAAAATAAACTGGGTACTTTCCCAGCTTTTGTGTGGGGAACAGTCGAATGTGAAAATCTCACCCTTTATGCCAACATGTTGTTAATACAATTCAAAAATATTTAAATGTATGGAAAAATGATATACTCTGTAGACGCACTTGACTCTTTCATGTGCCCACAATGCAGTTCCCTTGTGAGGCGATAGAACATTCGACTGTATGTAGGTTGGTGTGTTAATCTAATAATGTGTGTGTATCTTTTTTTTTTTTTACTTCGGATTTGTTGATAGGTGTTGAGATCATTATCGCCACACCAGGTCGTCTCATTGACTTCTTGGAGAGCGGGAAAACTAACCTGACGCGCTGCACCTACCTCGTGCTGGATGAAGCCGACCGCATGCTGGACATGGGCTTCGAGCCACAGATTCGCAAGATAGTTGAACAAATCAGGGTAGGCTCGGTTAAGATCAGTCTTGGTTGCTGAATTTTAAAAGGTCCCCACTGACCTATTATATATAGAATATTCTTCAGTGAAATCATGCCTTTCTCTCCCTGCCTCCTAGCCTAACAGACAGACTCTGATGTGGAGTGCAACCTGGCCAAAGGACGTCCGGCAGCTTGCAGAGGACTTCCTGAGGGAATATGTCCAAATAAATATTGGCGCACTGGAGCTCAGTGCCAACCACAACATCCTGCAGATTGTCGACGTCTGCATGGAGACTGAGAAGGACCAGAAGTAAGGATAGCCAATGAGCAAATATCTGACTGTAGAATGATGTTCTGTCTTTATCAACTCTCATTACCTGCGATACGTGGGTTGCAGAAAATTATCTTATCCTTTCACAAGTACCACTATCGTGCTATTATTGTCTCTTCCTGACTACAGACTTCTTCAGCTGATGGAGGAGATAATGGCTGAAAAAGAAAACAAAACCATCATCTTTGTGGAGACTAAGAAGCGCTGTGATGAACTCACCAGGAGGATGAGGCGGGATGGGTGAGAAAATATTGTCTGCCATGACCTAAAACGATGTTGACAATAATTGAAGGATCCATTTTGTGAATATCTGATAGGCGGAAGCTATTCAGGGTCTCACTTAGGCCTGTCACGATAATTAATTTTGTTGGACGATAAATTTTTCTGGAAATTATTGCGATAAACGATAATATTGTCGGCACCTTTGTATGACCATTTTAGACCACTGACATTATGATA